TGCTCCTTCTTCCCCCAGACCTTCCAGTCCGGAGTCCTCCCCTTCCGCACTTACTCCCGTCCAGGGACCCCTTGCCTGCAGCTGCCCCACCGTGGGTGACCCCTGCCGGCCCACAGGAGCCCCCGCTGGGGGCCCGTCCAGCAGGCACTGACCTCGAGCAGGGCTCCTCACCGCATTTGCTCAGGGCCCTGCAGGAGCCCCCGCTGAGCCGGCCTCACCGCTCGCCTCCTCTCGGGAGCACAGGGGCCCTCCCACCCAGAGCTGATGCTGTGGCCAAGGGCACCGGAGGGGGGGCCGCGGCTGCTTCTGCTTTGCCTTCCTGTCCCACCTCGGCCTCCCCACCTGACTTGCTCACCGTCAGCGTGTCCCAGAGTGAGCAGCGACCGGCTTCCCTGTGTGCCGCATCGTCCCCCTGCTGCCTCAGCATCCCTCAGTCCCCGGGGAAGCTTGTCCCTCAGTGACCCCTAGCTCTCTGGAGGATGCTCTTGCCTCCCGCTCACCCTCCTCCCTCTGGCTCCTCCCTCAACTCAGTTCGGCCCTCCCCTCCTCCGGGAAGCCCTCCCTGGAGACCCGTGTACCGGCTGTGAACCTCTAGTGCACCGCCATGGCCCTGGCTGGCTGCCTTCGGCCTTTTCCCAGCCCTTCCCTGCCTGGACCTTGTCCTGTCCCTCTCAGCACCCCGGCCCCAAGCAGGGGCCTGGTGCTGGTTGAGTGACAGGACCTGCCGTGTTCCCCCCTCTCCAGCCGAGACGGGGTCCCTTCACACGTGTCCACGTGCCTGGCAACGGGCATGTGACGTTGTCTCTTGTCTCATCCTTCTTCACTGTCTGTGTGGGAGGCAAACAGGTCCACATGGGCCGGACGGGTCTGCCCACCTGCCAGCTATCCTGGGGGCTCTTGTGGTCGTGCTGCTGATCCTCGGAGCTGGACTGTACCTTCTGTGCTCGCGTAGGAGGAAGCAGAGCTTGGAGCCTGGGAGAGGCAGGTGCACTTGTCCTTCCCGTGCCCACGTACCTCCCCCCGCCCCCCGCTGACCCTCAGCTCCCTTCCCCCTGCGTCTTGCTGCTCAGGGATGTCCCTGTAGAAGGCTGGTGGGTGTGGGCGTGACCGAGGGGGGCATGCTGGGGGAGGGTACAGGTTTCCAAGGCTCAGATTCAAGCTGCATCGGTGGGACTCTCGTGCAGGGTCCCAGGAAGAGCACAGGGACCATGATGATGGCGTCCAGTATGCAGAGCTGAGCCAGCAGACTTCCAGGGAGAACAGGGACCAGGTAAGGCCGGGCGAGGCGGTCAGCCCGGGTTCCCCCATGTCCCTGTGCCTGGGTGTGAGTTTGTCAATCCCAGGGATCAGCAGTTTCTGGCCTCGTTGCCTCTGTATCCCTCTCCAGACAGTGCAGAGTTAACACGGGGTCCGTGCAGTGCTGGGCGCTTTGGGGGGAGGTCAGGTGAGCGGCATCGCATCTGTGTGGGTCCCTCTGGGGCCTCTCTGTCCCTCAGCTGTGGCAGGAACCCTCTGTCTGCGTTCCAGGGTTCGGGGGAACCACATCTCGAACAGGAGACACCGCTCACGACAGTCTACAGTGAGGTCCGCCACCCAGGCCAGGGCTTGAGGGTGATTTAACTGGAAGAAGCAGGGAATCCAGCCTCCCCCCCGACACCTCTGTTGTGCGCGTGATGCCTGCGGCCCTGGTCCTGCCCCCTCCCCCTCTGACTGCTCTCAGCAGGGACCGGATTCATCCAACCTCCGTGAATCTCTATGCGGACACGTTGTGCCCAAGTTGAGCAGAAGACACACATCGCGGCAGATGGAGGGGGACCTTCGTCGTTAAACGAGTCCAAAGCTGTGGTCCGGTTCTGCTCAGCCTCAGCCCCTTTGGCAACCGTCAACGGAGCCCACTCTCCCCACGTCTGTGCCCCGTCCGTCATCCTGTCCGGACCCTCTGCCTCTGGGACCCATCGACATGAAGTCTCAACTTCTAGCCTCGACCGGTTCACCACCAGCCGGCTCAGTCTGTGCTTGAGAGCTGTGTAAAGAGAATACAAAGTCGCACAGCCAGGGCTCGCTGAGTCCCGGCTCTGTGATGCGCACTGATCTCGTCACCCTCTTCGTTCGTCACTCACTGGGCCCTCGCAGACGCTGTGTGAGCTGGGTGTCCTGGTGCCCACTTTGCAGATGAGGAGCAGGAGGCCAGAAAGGCTGAGTGTCAAGGCCGCACAGCGGGGAGCCCGAGCTGCACCGCAGCCAGGTCCTGGGTCCCAGCCGTCGTCTGGTTTCCCGAGTCCTGGGAAACCTCCTCCCTTCTGACCGGTCGTGCTGGCACCTGGCAGGGCTCCTATTTCTCAGGAAAAAGCAGAAGTTGAGTGAGTTCTCGTTCTGCCAGTTAACTTTTCCCTGACCACTTACTGACCTCTGCCTCCCTCCCTCTCCTGTCCCCACGGGGGACACTGAGCTCCTCGTGTCTAAGAAGGACCTTTCCCTACACGTGAGGCCCCGTCTGAGGCACCCCTCCTCTGGTCCGTCCCCCTGACCCTGCTGGCTCCCTCCCTGCAGCCTGCACCCTGGCTGGGGCTCCGCCTACTGAACGGCTGATCCCGCACCTGGGCCCCACCTCACGGGACCCCTAGAGCCCAGGGGTGAACCCCACGCGTCAGCTGCCACCTCCACCCACAGCAGGTGCCCCTTCTCAGGAAATGGGCCACACCCTGGACTCCTTCCTTCCTGCTCAGGGGCCCAGATCCGGTGCCTCTGAAGCCCCAGGCCTGTGCCAAGCGCCTCGGGTGCAACAAGTTTATTTTGTTGTCGCACTTGTAAGAGGAAAGCCGGAGACGCTGAAGCCTTAGCGGTTTCTGCCACTTACTCAAGAGGACACAGGACTGGTCCCTGGGTTGGCACACGTGCTTTTCGGCTCTCCTTCCCGCCTGTTGGGGCTGTGGGTTCGGCTCCCCCTCTTCACCCCTGCGCTGTGTCCTCCCCGCCCTCTCTCCCTGCCCTCACAGCCCAGCTTCCCTTCTTGTAATCCAGGGGCCGGGCAAGACAGAGCAGGAGCTCGGCCCCCACAGGAGGGAAAGTGTTTTCAGGCCATGAATGTGCGTTTTCCGTTCGGAGGAGAGGCTGGGCGCCTACCTGAGCCTCAGGTCACCTCTTGGTGACACAAACTCTCTCCTTCCATCTCCACCTCTTCTCCCCCATGCGTACAGAGTGGCCTGCTATTTGCCAGAATTAGTAATCCAAGCAGGACAGAAGTGGGTCTCAAGTGTCCCTGCCTGTCCGTCTCCCCAGCTCAGCCTGAGGCTCCACCGGAAGCAGGTGGATGCCCCGAGATCAGAGGAAAGCAGACGAGCTAATCGCCCCTAAAACCTCAGCCTCTGCAAGGGAGCACGCACACACCAGCCTCCAGCCAAGCAGCTGCGTGTGCCTCAGAACTAAGGCTTCCAGAAACATCCAGATTGCAACTGAAAGGACGATTCTAAGTATCTGAGAACGGTATCCGCATCCGGAGAGGGGGCAGAGCCGGGCTGTGTCTGAACCTTGCAGTAAATGTTGTGAAACAAGCCTCTTCCCACCCCCCACCCCCCCGGGGTCCTGAAACCTCACCCCTGCTGGTGGGCAGGGAGCAGGTGAAAGCATCTCCTGGACGCTGGGCTGCATGAACTCTAGCAGGTGGCTGGTATGATTAACCTCACTGCACACAGTCAGGGAGAGAGGAGCCCCGACCTGAAGTCTGAAATGATTCTTATTTTCAGTGTAGACCAGACAGGGAGGGGCATGAGGTACACAGGACCAGGGTACCACCCCAATCCTGATGGGGCTCCCTGGCACCGGGGACCACCCCCCCTTAATCCCCTTGTGCGCGACCACATGCCCCACCTGCCCCCGCACACCTGCTCAGGGCCTCCGTGACCGCCCCCGGCCTGGAGCACAAACTGTTACGTGTCTGTTCCATCCTGCTGGTACAATGGCCCGTCAGTCCCCTCCCCGTTGGCCTCTATCCTGCCCTCTTGGCAAACTAGCTTACTAGTCTGGGGAATTTTCTGTAGATTCCTGGGATTTTCTACATAGACAAACATAAGTAATGTCTGTGATCAAGACAGCTTTTCTTTTCCCCTTTCCAATCTATATCTCACTTTATGTCTTTCTCTTGCCTTAGTGCATCTGATGAGACTTTCCCTAGATGCTGCAGAGGAGCGGTGAGCACAAGCACCGTTGGCTCGTTCCCAACATTAAGGGAAAGCATCCAGTTTTCCGCCTTCAACAGTGATGTTCGCTGTCGGCTTTTCTGTCAGTAGGTTTTATTACATGACTCAGTTTCATTTTCTCTACCTTCGTTCTTCTTATTTCCTCTCTTCCACTTGCTTTGCATTTGTTTCGCTCTTATTTGTATAGATTTGTAAGAGAAATGCTTAAATTATAAATTTGGAGCATTTCTCCTTTGGTAAACTATGCTTTGAATCATGTTCATTTCCTTATAAGCACCTTGTTCGCGTCTTTTCCCACGTTTTGATGTCTTGTATGTTCATTTCCGCTCGCTTCAAATGTTGAGACATTTCCCTTCAGGCACCCTCTTTGACCTTTGGCTATGGAGACTTGTTTCGTTTCCTCCGTACGTGTTTGGAAATTTCCCGTCATCTTTCTGTTATTAAATTCTACCCGAGGTCTGTCCCAGTCCGAGAAGACACATTATTTCAGGACGCGAAAAATCGCTGACGTTTGTGTTCTGGCCCAGGATGGGACACTGCCTTGGGAGCTGAGAGGGCTCTGCAGGCCGCTGGTGGGGCCGAGTGTTCCTCAGACATCAGCCAGGTCAGGCTGGTTCGTGGTCGTGTTCAGCGTCGCGTGTCCTTGCTGACTGTCCGCCTCTCGCCGCGCTGCCGGGACGGGAGTGCTGGGCCCTCTGGCTGCGATGGTGGACGCACCTGTTCCTCCTTTCAGTTCTGCCATTTTGCCACGTGTATTTGGTGCCATGGCACCACGTGCCCTCTTCAGGTGGGCACACGTCGGGGGTTCTCGTCACGTCTTGCTGAACCGACCTTCCGTCATTGTCCACTCTTCTCCTTTGCCCCTGGTAACTTCCCGGGCTCTGAAGTCTTCTTTCTCTGATTTTATTTAGCCTTTCTGCGTTTCTTTGGATTCGTGTTTGTGCGATCTGGTGGTTCATTTTATACGTCACCCGGCTGGGCCACAGTGCCGAGAATTGCGGTCAAGTATCATTCTCGATGTTTCCGTGAGGACATGTGGGATGAGATAAACTGAAAAGGATAAACTCTGAGTAGAGCAGGCTGCCCTCCACAACGTGGGTGAGCCGCATCTCATCGGGTGAAGGCCTGGAAGCTGCCAAGTCTGACCTCCCCTGAGGAGGAAAGATTTCTGCAGCAGACGGTCAGGGGACGAGACCTCCAGCACTGGCTGGCTCTTCCCTGTGTGTCCAGGCTGATGACATTTGGCCTGAACCTCAACAGCAGATCTTCCCTTGTCTCAGCCTGGTTCCCCTCCCTGCAGACTCCAGGCCCGCCAGCCTCTCTAAGAATGTGAGCCAAACCTGTACAATGACTCTCTCTAGACTTGCAAGCATCCCTTTAACTCTGCTTCCCTGGAGAACCCGGAGGGACGCCACGGCATGTCTGTTCCTATCCTTTGACTGTGAACCCAGCTCTGTCGAGCCAGACGGGAAGTGTGGTCGCAGAGGGAGCTGACCCCCAGCCGTGTGTGCAGCTGCCCGTCCGCCCCCGGCCGAGGCGCCCCCTGGCCACGCCCTGCCTGTCCTGCTCCTACCCCGTCCCGGCGCCCACACTGAAGGCCCCACACAAATCTCTCTCCCCGCTGCGCACTCGGGCCTTTGGTTCTCCCGGCGGCTGATTTTCCTGAGATCGTCTCCCTCGCCCTCTTTTCTCCCTGCTTTTCTCCCACTCCGACTGACCGTCCCAGCGAGAGTCACGGTTCCCTTGTCCCAGGCGTCCACCCAGCCTGAGTGGACTCCCGGGGGACCTTCTGTCCCGGCGGGACCTCGGCCGCTCCGTGAAAACCGTGCCCCGGAACTGGAGGAAGAGGGCGGAGGGGTGAGGGGAGGGAGCCTCGAGGTCACGAGGGGACGGTCCCCCCCGCCTGCTCCTGCTCAGCTGTGGGACAAGGAGAACGGAGGCGATGGTGTTGCTCCTGCTTGCGGGAGAGGATGTTCCTGTGCTGAGTGTTTTAGAAAACACTGCTGAAAACGGTCAAAGGGGCGGCAGCGAGAGGGGGAGGCAGACGAACAGGAACGAACGTGGAGCCGGGAGCCGGGGTCCGGCTCTACCCGCCTGCCTGAAGCCACAGGCCGCCGAGGAAGGCTGGAGGACACTAGAGGTGCAGAGGCCCTGAGAAGGCGTTGGACACGTGGCCTCCGGGGGGTGCGGCTCCGACCGTCCAGTTACAGGGCTGCAGGGCGGGAAGTGAGTGGCTCCATGATGCAGGAGGCGAAATCCGGGTGGATGAGCCCTGGGATGCTCAGTTGACCTCATTCCCTCCTCCCGCGTCCCCATCCAGGGTGGAGGGGACAGGGCCCCGGTCCTGGCCGGGGCCGCCCAGTGCCAGGGTCCTGGCGCCTCGACTCCCTCTGCCCTCTCCCCCCTTCCCACCTTCCACATGGGCTTTAATGGGATAGACCGGATGGTGGGTCC